ATAATAATAATAAGAATGCATGCATAAATATATAAATACCATGCATAATGTCTGTTGCTTCATAGTAATAACTTTTAAAATGCTCGTCATAAAGTCCTTCTAATCCTCGTTTAGACAGAGATAACTCTTCAGCACCTCTGGCAATACGCACAGACATTCCTGTCTGTCTCGGACTCTTTTCCGATCACGCTGACATGTGGGAAGTCTGACGTTTGGCCAGTTGGCTCAGTGGAGTGCTGTTGGCAAAGCTTCTTTGAAATGACTAAATGAAGCATAACTTTCTACACTGAGTACAACTGTTGGAACAGAGCAAGCATTATTAACACACCGTTTGGCTGCTACAACAACAACCTCGTCTGTCATGAGTTACTAACACCGCATCAAAAGGCCACTACGGTTCATTTACAAATCAGCTTTGGATTTTAAACTATTCAAAAGAGCCAATCCCTGAGTCTAAGATATTCTGCTGAAGGGCTGCAATTAACATTTTGATAATTCATTTGATGATTATTTCTTTGATTGATTACATATTAAACATCTTGCCAAAATCTTTCAAACAATGTGCAAACTAAAGTCAATATTATGTATGCTATACATTTATTTTGTTACATTTTTGCACACACAATTATATATATATATTTTTTTTTATTTTTTTTTGTGGAGGCAGCAAAAGCAATTTAAACAACTATTTTATAATGACTATTTAATGAAATATTTTAAACTGATAACACATTGGCATAATGTGAGAGACTATTCTTTATTTTTCAGTAATCTCAATAAAGTTAATGTTCATATTGAAAAAAAAAAACATTATTTGAAGTTTAATTTACCATTGATTTTATGTTTAAGAAATCGTTTAAATCCAAATGATTGTGCTCAATTTCTTTTGATCTCTGGATTTACATGCATGATGTAGAAACGGTAAATTCTTTGACATTTTTCTTTTTGTGCTCTACAGACAAATGTAACAGTATACTGATTTGAAACTACATTAGGGTGAGAAGATGATGACATAATTTTTAATTCAATTCTTTAACAGAAATAGCTATTTTCTTTAAAGTGGTAAAATAAAATGCAGTAATGCCATTAGCGCTTTAAAGGGATAGTTCACCCAAAAATGAAAATTCTGTCATACTCACCCTCATGTCCTTCGACCTTCGAGAGTGAGTAATTAATGACAGAATTTTCATTTTTGGGTGAACTATCCCTTTAAGTCCATGACAGTGACGTCGCTTTCTGAACAAATTATCAACAGAATGGAATGCTATCACACCAGACGTCTGAGTATCACATTATCAGTGTCAGAGTGAGATAACTGAGACGACAAATGGGAAAAGGGGAAAAACCAAACACAAGACAGAACAACATAAAAGAGGAAGTGCCTTACTATGCTGTGGCATACATCCTGTTGAACGGTTCAAAGGTAACCTGATTAGGTTGTGTGTATCCGTGTGTGTGTATAGGATAGTAAGGATACCTTGTGGGGACAATTTTTAGGTCCCCATGAGGAAACAAGCTTATAAATCATACAGAATGAAGTTTTTTGAAAATCTAAAATTGCAGAAAGTTTCCTGTGAGGGGAAGGTTTAGGTGTAGGGCGATAGAAAATACAGTTTGTACAGTATCAACACCATTACGCCTATGGAATGTCCCCATAAAACATGGAAACACAACATGTGTGTGTGTGTGTGTGTGTGTGTATGTGTGTGTGTGGAGAGAGACGTATGAGCCGCTACCGTTCAACCATGACCCAGTTGGCACCGATTCTGTCCTTTCCGTCACACTCTCTGGTATTTGTTTCCCAGAATTTCCACTGACACTTCCTCAGCTCTCACCCTGTCATCTTCTCCTCACTTCAGTCCAGTCTGCTACGCACCGCTCACATCTACCAGAACACACTGCTCACCCCGATGGCTTCAACAAATCATCTACAGCCCAACATCAGCACAAAGAAAAATGACTGATGTAATTACAGGTTTGCTTCTCAGTCAAACTCTGACAACAGAATGAATGTATCCCACACTCTAATTATAAAGCTGTGAAATCACTGAAATATACCTGATGAATTGAGTAAATGAGTAAAAACTGAGTACACTACACAACCCAGATCATTTGAGAAAACTGATTTATGAACCAGTATTTATCAGCAATATGAACTTGCATTATTTGAGCGCACTAAAAAATAAAACACATTTTCTATTCCAATTGCAATTGCAAAGAGACTATCGCTGCACACAGTTACTGCTGTTCAAATTAAGCATCATGTGTCTTATATAGTCTTAAGGTCTTTTGGCCCATTGAATATATGCTTCACTTTCCCCCTGATTTTCTTCCCCTCTTTTACAACATGGCAGACCAAATCAAATGTCATCACGGTTCAATCATCTCTTAAGTAGACATTACTGTTGTTGGACTGCTCAACAAAAAGAGCAATGTTGAAAGCTGCACAGAGCCACAGTGTTTAACTTATGAATGACTTATTTAGATAAGTCTCTGCATATTAAGCCGTGACAGAAGTACATGATGCACGCATTTAGCCGACTACACACCAAAACAAATAATAAACGCAGGTTTGTTCTAGACTGGTACATCCTTCATATGGCAGGAAAAGACTGTTGGCTAGACAGCATGTGACACCACAAATGGAGAGCTTTACACAGCTTACATCATCACGAAATTACCGTAAACTCCCATGATCCCAACCTACAGTCTCCCGTGCAAATGCACATAAAACAGATACTGAGACGGGACTCACAGCAGTGAAACAGGAAGCAAAACGGACTGGCTTTATTGTTTAACAAATAATGTGGATGAACGTGTTCATTCTCTCAACTAACTTCATAAATATATTGAAGGAGTTCACATGTACACTGGACTCTTGTTGGCTGGTTTTCCTGTGTTCTAAAGAAATCCATATGTACCAAGATTATTCATTTAATTTCAATTATTATAAGCTGCTTTCAAAATAAGGAGAAACAAATTCAGTCAAATTCAGACGAGTACTGTATTTAAAAGCCAAAGTAGCTCATGTGCTGTTTAACTGCAGAAGGACAACACTGCGTTTGCGTTCTGAGAAATGGACGATTGTCGCCTGAATTTTTCCATATAGCCTAAATACGGTCGTGCTGATGTTTGTGGAAAATCAGCATTAGAAATGTTTAAGAGCAGCGTCACACTTTTCCAGTTCATCTCCAACAGAAGCAAGGCGTCAGCAGCTCAGTGCTAACGCTGTCCCACATCTGAACTGAACTGAAGAATGTGTCTGTTTAAACATTAATGATAGGGTCTAAACAAGATCCGTCTTGACTTGCAGAAGCAAAACCTGTTCTCAGCCTCTACAAATCTATAAAATGATGGTATACTGAGGCACAGTTAACTTAACAGTGATAGAGTATAAGCTTGTAATCAAAGCACACAATCAGGTGCAAAGCTTCACATAGATGTATTGTGTTAGCTTACACTACATGAAACCTCACCAATTCACTATGAATATAAATTTAAATAAATAAATTTAAAAAAAGGTAATTTGCAACAAGTGACGTGACATGTGGCCAAGTACGGTGACCCATACTCGGAATTAGTGCTCTGCATTTACCCATCCAAAGTGCACACACACAGCAGTGAACACACACACACCGTGAACACACACCCGGAGCAGTGGGCAGCCATTTATGTTGCGGCGCCCGGGGAGCAGTTGGGGGTTCGGTGCCTTGCTCAAGGGCACCTCAGTCGTGGTATTGAAGGTGGAAGAGAGCGCTGTACATTCACTCCCCCCACCTACAATCCCTGCCGGTACGAGACTCGAACCCGCAACCTTTGGGTTACAAGTCCGACTCTCTAACCATTAGGCCACGACTTCCCCCATAATAATAGCTGACCCTTTTAGTATTGTGTGTGTATATATGCAATTAGCTGAAAGACTGTGTAACGTTGCTTGATGTAATATTTTAAAATAAAGCACTTGGCTTCATCACAGGGCCACCTCAGAACAAGAAAAAATGAACCATTTCCTTTCTGCCACTCCTATTCAATTCATGTCTCCCGAATCTACCCTCATGTTTCCTCTTTTGAACCACAAATGGCTTGAGTTCAAACCTCAAAGCACACTGTAGTTTGCGCAACAAAACATACTCAAAGGAAGATCTGAGATTTTTAGTCTGTAAACACATTACCAAGCAAGCTAAAGGGCCGGACTTCTGTGTTGGCGTACAGTGAGGTTTATGGATGAAGCATCCAACTAAAGGGTTTTTAAAAAATTATCACATACATACAGTGGGTACGGAAAGTATTCAGACCCCCTTAAATTTTTCACTCTTTGTTATATTGCAGCCATTTGCTAAAATCATTTAAGTTAATTTTTTTTCCTCATTAATGTACACACAGCACCCCATATTGACAGAAAGAAACAGAATTGTTGACATTTTTGCAAATTTATTAAAAAAGAAAAACTGAAAAATGCTCAGTATTTAGTAGAAGCACCCTCTTGATCTAATACAGCCATGAGTCTTTTTGGGAAAGATGCAACAAGTCTTTCACACCTGGATTTGGGGATCCTCCGCCATTCCTCCTTGCAGATCCTCTCCAGTTCTGTCAGGTGGGATGGTAAACGTTGGTGGACAGCCATTTTTAGGTCTCTCCAGAGATGCTCAATTGGGTTTAAGTCAGGGATCTGGCTGGGCCATTCAAGAACAGTCACAGAGTTGTTGGGAAGCCACTCCTTCGTTATTTTAGCTGTGTGCTTAGGGTCATTGTCTTGTTGGAAGGTAAACCTTAGTTCCAGTCTGAGGTCCTGAGCACTCTGGAGAAGGTTTTCGCCCAGGATATCCCTGTACTTGGCCGCATTCATCTTTCCCTCGATTGCAACCAGTCGTCCTGTCCCTGCAGCTGAAAAACACCCCCACAGCATGATGCTGCCACCACCATGCTTCACTGTTGGGACTGTATTGGACAGGTGCCTGGTTTTCTCCACACATACCACTTAGAATTAAGGCCAAAAAGTTCTATCTTGGTCTCATCAGACCAGAGAATCTTATTTCTCACCATCTTGGAGTCCTTCAGGTGTTTTTTTAGCAAACTCCATGCGGGCTTTCATGTGTCTTGAACTGAGGAGAGGCTTCCGTCGGGCCACTCTGCCATAAAGCCCCGACTGGTGGAGGGCTGCAGTGATGGTTGACTTTCTACAACTTTCTCCCATCTCCCGACTGCATCTCTGGAGCTCAGCCACAGTGATCTTTGGGTTCTTCTTTACCTCTCTCACCAAGGCTCTTCTCCCCCGATAGCTCAGTTTGGCCAGACGGCCAGCTCTAGGAAGGGTTCTGGTCATCCCAAACGTCTTCCATTTAAGGATTATGGAGGCCACTGTGCTCTTAGGAACCTTAAGTGCAGCAGAAATTTTTTTGTAACCTTGGCCAGATCTGTGCCTTGCCACAATTCTGTCTCTGAGCTCTTCAGGCAATTCCTTTGACCTCATGATTCTCATTTGCTCTGACATGCACTGTGAGCTGTAAGGTCTTATATAGACAGGTGTGTGGCTTTCCTAATCAAGTCCAATCAGTATAATCAAACACAGCTGGACTCAAACGAAGGTGTAGAACCAAATACTTTCCGTACCCACTGTATGTATCTTGATAAAAGTAGTCCTAAAAGTGGCGAATGCTGAAGTTCCTTTAAAGCAGAAAGAAGACCATCTTTTTATTGATTTCAAAAATACAGTTACTACAACATTACACTAGACATTAGCGTTGTCAGAAATTATGATTTTTCAACACATATCGATGCTGAAATTGTCACGGTTCATGGGTCCGTGCGGTCCTTTTGCGTCTTGTCATGTGGGTGTATGTGTGTTACGTCATTCGTTAGTGGTTGCAGCTGGCGCTCTATCAGAGCGCGCCAGCTGCAACTCATTAGCGATCCCTTTATAGGACGCCTTGTTCAATGTGTGTTTGTCGGTTCGTTATTCTCATGTCCTGTCTCTCTGTCAGTTCGCTGTTTTAGCTCACGCACTGCCAGGGCACGGATCTTCAGCCCTCGCCTTGGTTTGGCCAGCGCTTTGGGAGGAACGCTTCTCGAGAGGAGCCCTGATCTTGACCGAGACCCCGAGGATTGATCACCTTGTTTCTCCGTTATTGTGGTTACTAAATAAACCTTTATATTCGCACTTGCGCTTGGATCCTGACTCTTCTCTGCCGTGACAGAAATATCTGAAACTGTTTCAATGCTCTTTTTTTCCGTGATCTGATGTGGCTTCTTATCACAGAATGAAGCCAAAAATATATTATTTTATAGTATACTATACTGTAACATGTGCTATGTTGATTAGCATTGCATTACAAGTAATAACTAAGTCTTTTATGCATAGTAAAAATACATTTTTTTCTTATAAAAATACCCAAGATGGCTTGAAGAGCACAGATAAACAATATATTGCCACAATCGTGTGTTTATTGTCTTCATGTTTAATCAGTCAAAGCATTTCTTTCTTACTTTTATTAGATACAGTGATAGCTGGTAGGCTTGCCGCGATAGACGGTGTTGACGGTGATACCGGTGTTAAGCCGCAACACAGGTTACGTCACTTGCCCACCGCGTCACCAACCCCCACCGTCGTTTTGATTTTTTATAGTAATAAAAATAATTTAGTTCAGTAAAAGAACAGACACTACAATTAAAAACTGAACGAGCGAGGAAAAGAGGGAAAATTCAAACAAACTAAAAATTAACAATTGCTTTACTCCGAATTGCCGCTATTTGAAAGTGAAAGTAAAATGGGCACACCGCTTTTACAAGCTATTTAAAAGCGAAGGAAAGTGAGGAAAAGAGGGAACGCCCTGCCCCGACGTTGATACCGGTATTACCGGTGTTGTCACACGTCGATTAACCGGTGGGAAAATTTCCTCACCGTCACAACCCTAATAGCTGGATGCCTCTGATACCTATATCGATATTGTTTAAGGTATCATATCGAAGATAGATTCCAGCATCATGACAACACTAGTAGGCATATTAAATTTTTTATTTAAAAGCGGAGAGATGACTAAAAACTTCCTCGCTCAGATCATTTCAGACCCAATTGAATTTAATTCGGACCTGACAGAAAGTGGTGATATCAAAGCAGGTGTGTTCTTTACTCTAATCAGTCCTTCGCTTTGCATATTGTTATTGAATTGGTGTTTTGAAACAGCTAAGTGTAAAGAAACTTTCAAAGCAATTGGCACTTTTGAAACATTGCTTCACGATGCTTTAAAACATTTGCGATTCTTTTGTTTCAAACCAGTGGTTTGGAGACTGTATTAAACGTCCAAAGTCACAAGGCTTCATTGGGTCAAAACTGTTTGGAACAACACTCTCATGGGGAAAAGTGTCTGAATTAGTACAATCTCACTGGCATGATCTCCTGAGAGTTGGGTGGACCATGGCTTAGTTTTTACAAAAAAATGGTATGTTTTTGTACAGCTCACAATGTATGAATTAATAGGAATTCACCACCAATTTGCCAAAGCATTAATAGGCATTTTCCTATGAGATCAAGTTAACTTTAAAACATTTCAAAAATGGTTCGCAACTATGGGGTAATCTCAGTGAACCTATGAACCATTCTATGGTTTATGGTATAGCCTTTGTTGGCCTCATTAGCCAAGCCCTCCATAAAACACACAAAACAATCCCTACAAATTAATAAAATAACACATAGTATACACACATTTCATTATAACAGTATATGATTTGTAGATCGCATTTCATAGAGTAGCCTTTCAAATAAAATAAAAAAAACATCAATTGGTTTGCAAAAAGCATCTTTATGCATGTTTGGGCTGAGCATTTGCATTCATTTACACCATTCTGACAAGCAGTTGTCGCAAGTTTCTGGTGTCTTGAGCGTGAATCAATCGAAGAAATTGGTTCATTCGAGTCAGAGTTTCGACAAGCTCTCTTTCTCCCATCGCTACTTTTCAGGAACATTATCCCTGACGATCATCATTCACATGCAAGCACACCATAGTTAGCTAGCCTTACGTAGCTTACACGAAGCAGTAGTGATGGCGGCTTTCGAAACACTGCTTCGTGAAGCTTTTGCGAATAATTTGTTTCGAAACGGAGCGCGTATCAAACTGCCAAAGTCACGTGATTTCAGTAAACGAGGCTTCATTACTTCATAACTGTTTCGAAACGTTTCAAAATTTTAATGGCTTTCCATTGGGGGGGCGATCTCTGTGAACATTGAGATCGCCTCCCAGCGGCGAAACACTGAACCAGCGTCTATGATTTTTACCTGATCTCGGATCAGTTTCATCAATTTGTAGGCATTTTTAACAAGACATTTGTGTTAATAAAAGGATGAGAAATAGTTCATATATCTTTCTGGCCTATATATACAAGCTCTGCATAACACAAAACAAAACAAGCCCTGCAAATTAATATAAAATATTTTAAAAGCCACATATTATACAGACACTTCATATTTAATGGTATTTGATCAATTTTATGGCATTTAATGTATTATACTTTCAATAAAACATTTGCAATGGGGTTTAAAAATCTGTTTTTATACATGTTTTAGCCTGAGTTTTTGTTGCATTTACACACTTTTGACCAGCAGGCGTCACCTGCGTGTGGTGTTTCGAGCGCTTCGAAACAGTGAATCATTTTGCGAAGCAATTGGTTCAATTGATTCGAAGCTTCGAAAAGGTTAGTTTCTCCCATCACTACGGAGCAGTGACACTTACGGTTGGCAGAGCTTGACCAGGTCTTGGTCAGTGGTCCCGGGATGGAGTCCACGAATGTAAAGGTTGGTTTTGCTCAGCGGTTCCCCGCCTCCCGCACTACTCGCGCTGCTGCTGTTGGTGTTGGGACTGGGCAGTGCCATCTGGTGGATGGAGGACACATAGGCTTGCTATTGAAATGAAAAAAAAAACAAACATATTACATAAGTATAGTTAAATCAATGTTGTTAGGGGTGTGCGATATATATCGTCTGCGATAATATCGTTATTGTTGTTTTAACGATGTGCGATTTGACATTATCGAGTATTTTGCCAAAACCACTCAAAACACACCTACAGAGTGCATGCTAGGGCCGGGTATCGTTCAAAAACTGTCGATATCGATCCCGATACCTTGACTTCGATACCGGTTCCTGAACGATACCTTTTTTCGATACAAATTTTATAAAATCAATTTTAACAAGATTACATTATCTAAAAAAAAAAAAACTTTGGTTTTATTTTTCAGCTTGTTGATGTTTATACAAACTCAAAAACTCGTCTCCCGAGCCACTGCACAAAGGAACAAAATGTAACAAACACAATAAATCAGTGCAAAATAGTTTTAATAAAGCTCAAATAGTCTTCAGTTTACACATCTGTTAGGCTACATTTACACTAGTTAGTGTTTGTTTTAAAACGCATAGCTCAGACAGAATCATGATTTTTATTTATTTTGTTAGTGTTCGTGTTAAAACGCATAGCTCAGACAGAATCATGATTTTTATTTATTTTGTTAGTGTTCGTGTTAAAACGCATAGCTCAGACACCTTTATTGACTCACTGACGCTGATGAGATTAACCCCTTAGGTATCAAAATTTGGTACCGAACGACGAGACGTTTTCTGATACTCGATGGTATCGAGGCAATTCGGTCGGTGCCTAAAAAGAATCGAACTTGATACCCAGTCCTAGTGCATGCAATACATTATGTGAAGTCTAGACTAGTGCACAATGCGCATTTAGAGTGTGTGCTTTTACTGCATGATTCAGTCTATTAAAATGCATTTAGAATGATCACAAATTCAAGGCATGGGGGCAGTAAATTTATATATTTATACCACTTCATATAGTTAATCAATTTCACATGAAGAGTGCCGTTTTTGTCCAAAAAATTACCATGATTACAAATGTGATATTGAATTTTTTACAACAGTTCAAGAAACAATAAGTTAATTAAGAGACTTATAAGTTTCAGACATCATCTTCTGGCGTTAAAAGAGTTTTTGTGTGGATGTCACGAACCGTCAAGCATTAGGCATACATTTAAAGGGGACCTACTGTGCAAAAATCACTTTTATAAGGTGTTTGAACACAGTTGTGTGGCCGCAGTCTGTGAAAACAACCAGCCTATAATGGTAAAAATCCACCCACTAATTTTTAAAATATAAATCATAAACAGTCTCTCAGAAGACGCGATTCCAGATTCTCCCTACGTACACATTATCGTAGGGAAAAAAGTAGGGCTGCTCAATTATGGCAAAAACCATAATCACGATTATTTTGGTCAATATTGTAATCATGATTATGAGTGGGCCACATGACCAAAATTCTCAATTCCACAGCAGAATACTAGGTTAACTCATTAGTAAAAGACAGAAAACGTTCTCAAAATGATTGAAAATAATTAAATGTCAGCAATAAAAAAGCAAAGGACAAATACAATAGGAAAAATAATAGAAATAAGTTTTTATCCAAATATAAAGTATTCAGTTAACAGCCTACTACAGAAATTGAATAATCAAATGTAAAATTAAACAGCATAGTCTTCACTATAAGAATGAAACTTCCTTTGTTTCTTATTAAAGCTACAAAAGTCCTTCAATCAAGAGCAGTGAGTGATTTTGTCATTGTCTTTTGTTGTTTGATTAATATTAAGCACACAGTCAGAAGCTGGAATAGCCCACTGTCGCTTTAAGAGCCGCACGGATCCAATTTACTGGTACACATGTATTTTCATTCTTAACTGTTTACGTTCACTTATTACAGAACCGATGAGGGTTTACGTTAATAATCACCAAGCGCTGCATTTTGACACATTTTTGCATGTATTTGACCATTTAGGCACACACCTTGAGCTAAAAGATGACTTTACATATCTGTGTTCTGTTCCGTCTCTGAGCGCATACACAGAAATTCTACTGAGGAACAGCGCAAGTTCTCTTTGGTACTAAATTGCAGTGGAAACGCAAACCGAGCCGTGCCGTATTGAGCCGTGCCGAGCCAAGTCGTACCACGCAGTGGAAAAGCGCCAAAAGTTTGTGATGGCACGCGATGGCACCATGAGACCAGCTATGTCGTTATTTTTATCGTGCCGTGCTCCCCATCTGTGTAATTCATAAACGTGCATTTATTATGCACAGTACAATCAGATGATTAACCGAGTACATTTTCTGTAAAGATAACAGGCTTGTACTAATATTGGAATGTTTATTTGCAAAGGCCAACACCGGTATTTCTGGAGCTTGAGCTCTTGATGCTCCGCCCTCTTCTCAAAAGTGGGCCAGGGGCACCAGATAATTTGCATTTACAGGGACAAACACAAAAACGGCGCGTTTTGGCTCATACCTGCAAAGTGGCAATTTTAACAAGCTAGCCTATAAAAAATTATCTGTGGGGTATTTTGAGCTAAAACTTCACATACACACTGTGGAGACTTGTTAAAAGGGGCATAACAGGTCCCCTTTAAGTGAAAATGAATGGTAGGTAATATGCAACTTGTTGAGTGTTTTGAAACTGGCAAAAATTGCAGGATAGTGTAGAACACAAAAGGTCACATTACGCACCTGCAGCGCTTCTGAACCGTTTGGTTTTTCATATTTAAGCCCTCTTTAAATACAAAAAATATTAGCAGTGAAAAAAATACTAAAGTAAAAAAGCTCAAAAAAGGAGTTTGCGATAGAAAATGTACTGATAATGGTAGCTGCAATATTTTTAAAAAATAACAAATTAAATCTATGTATGCACCATTAAAATGGACTACAACTGAAAGCTATATGGGTTGCCACTAGTGTTAATTTCGTTAACGAAAACTATGACGGAAAATAATTTCGTTGACAAAATAAGACGAGCCTAAAATGTATAATAAAAAATAATAAAAACTTTACCAAAAACCTCTTTTTATTTTTGTCAGAAAAAGGAGACAAAATTATATTGCGGACTGCTGTACACGCCTCTACTATGCAAGCTTTCATGAGTGCAGTTGCCAGATATCAAGAGTTCAAAACCCAGAATCAGAGCTTCGCTGTTACATGGATACATTTTCTGCCCGGTGTTTTGCTTATTTTAAGCAATCTGGCAACTAGGGCTGCATGATAAATCGAAATGGAATTGAGATCGCGATTCGACAGAAGCTGCGATTGTCATGCGTATCTTTCAGTGAAGCACGGTTCTGTGATCAGCAGTAAATCTCCATCCAAAGGCCAGAGGGCGCTCTCGCGCTGAAACTCCAAATACGCCTCGCAGAAGAAACCC